AGATGTCTTGACTTGCCCCCAGGAAGCGAACAAGTCTTGGATGGAACGCACAATCTTATCAGCATCCTGCAAAGAAAATTGTCAATATTGAAGATTCTCACTACAACAAACAAGATGGAAGTAAAAGTGAAGCAAAGATTACCTCATCAATAATCTTGGAAGATGGCATATCCCCAACCAAGTCTGCCACCTGTGGCTCCACCATTCGTGAGGACTTCCCCTTGTCTAAGCGAGAAGATGTTGCCACAACGGGCAGACTCATAGGAGTATCTGCAGAACTCAAAAGCAACAAATCAGAAACCAATAGCATAAGCAAAGGTAAAGCACCAAAAAACTGAATTACCTTCTACTTCGATGTTTGGAGGGTCGACGCCCTGGGAAGAAAGTGGCTCATCCATTGGTTGTGATGAGGATTTTGGGACTGAAGATGTCTCTTTAAGCATAGTCCCTTCATCAGCTGGTTTGGATAAAGAAGCCTCAGCGGAGGATGATGGAGCAGGAGCTGCCGACACCAAGGCCTTCAAAGGAGAGGCTAAACTTTTCTAAGAAGTCCAAATAAACCATCAGCACACAGAAAAGTTTCAAGTATGGAAAAGTATGCTTGTGAGTAAACCAATTTAATTACCTTCCTCCTGATGATAAGAGGGGTATCATCATCATTATCAACATCATCCTCCAGAATGGGAGATGCTGAGGCTGGCCGTTTGCGGCTCGGGGCATTTTTGGCTGCAATAGGCTTGGCAGGGAGAGAAGAAGATGGACGAGTTGACTGTTTAACGCGACGAGGAGGAGAAGGACTCCGGATGGACAAAGGGGTGACTAAAACAGGAGGAGGGGAAGAAATGCTTGGCTGGTCCAGTGAATGAAAGGCACGATTGGCATCAATCGCAAACAATCTGCACTTCACTGACGGCCAGAGTTGTTCAAAAAGGGGATGGATGGCACGGCTAGAATTGAAGGGGGTTAATGAAAAATGACTCGTCAAAAGAAGATTGCGAGCATTTATAACCTCTGCCTCCGCTTTATTAATGATATGGAAGCGGTCTATCAAGTTCCTTGAATAGCAAAGAGGAACAGGCCAGGTTTGGTCGAAACCAAGTTGACGAGCAAGAAATTGGGGAGCATATATTTCTATCCCAACCTTGGCATTGGTCCCAGTCAAAATATCATGAAATAACTCCCTCCCGGTTAAAAGCTGGATCCAAATGAGCAGAGAGGTGCTCGCGCTGTCTATAGTGGAAGGAGGATGCACATAGTCTGAAGTCAAAAAGGGAGGAAAATGAAAGAAGGAAGGGATTGAATCCAAAGAATAAAAGAATGAAAAAATGTCCCTTCTAGATATATTTACAGAAGCCAGGGGCTCAATGGCTAGCCCATAGTAGCTAGCAGAAGGACGAGAAAATGATGGAGCACCAAACGATGAAAAATAGGATCTCAACCACATTTGAGTGAACCAAAGAGGTCCACTGCCAGTGGGAGATGCACCATTCTTCAATTGAGATTGAAGAGAAGCCATGCCTCTATAGAGGGCAGCCAAAAAGAAAGAACATAAATTCAGAGGCCTACCACGCGCCAATTCGTGCGCTATGGGTAAATAGCTCAAGGAGGACTTTATGCTTGGCACACACAAAACATATTTACAAAGCCAAACCAGAAGAAAGGCCACTCGCTCAGTATGGGAAGGCTCAGCGATCGAGTGGTTATGAAAGGTTTGCAGGCTTGAATAAGACTCGGTGAGGTTTTTACCAAACTTTGGGGCGCCACCAGAAACCAAGATACCAGGAAAAATGGTATCGCCCAAAGGTGGCAGATTCACTAGGGCCCCAACATCACTTAAAGTAATAGACATGGGGCCCAGAGGAAAAATAAATGTATTATACTCAGAAGACCAAAAACTTAAAGCGATCGAAAAAAGTGCTGAATCAAAAGTAGGGGGTTGAAGAGAGATTTCTAACAAATCAGAAATCCTAGCATTATCAAAAAGTGCCTTAGTAGGACTATGGTCCATAAGGCGAGCATGCCACCTACGAAAAACTACATCAGATTTAGGCCAAGTGCGAATACCTCTTTCGCGAAGTGGCCCCAGTGGCAGAGAGTTTAGAAATGGAGGGCCTTGAGTACAAGGAAACAGCTGGCTCACTGCCGCTTGTTCGACCGCCTCTGCATTGTTGAAGAAAGGACCTAGGTAGAACTCATTGAGTTCAACATTGGCAGGTGCGAGAAAGTTCGGAGTTATGTATGGACGATTAAGAAGTTTCTGAAAGTCTTCAAGACTAAAGGAGTCGCCAGATTAAGATTGTGAAGTAGCCATTAGGGACGAAATGGAGTTTTTTAGAGTTATGTAGCAGGGAAGTAAAGAGATGAACAGTAAAATTGTGAGAGAGAAGCGCGAAAAAAGTGAGGCGTGATTTAATGGTGCAGTAAAATGGCGTATTTGGAGATTATAAGGGTTTGCAAAACGTCGTACCTTTTCAAGCAATAGAAGAAAACAATGATTGAAATTCTTGGAAATTTCGAATGTTGCTGAAAACACAAAGTGAATATGGTAAAATTTAATAATTGGTATTAATTCTGCCATATTGGGGGGTAATTATTGACACATAAAAATTCAGCCCAAATTGAACGGCCCAAGGAATGAAGCCCAATTGGAGGATCCCCAAATCAGATAGCCCAAAGAACGAAGCCCAATCAGACAATTCAGGATGAAGGTCCAAATAAGGAGGCCCATGAACGCGGTAACACCATCGCCCAAGCTTGCAAGTCGTCCAGGATCTGAGCCAATGAAGTGCCATGCAGTCGCCCAAAGCTGCTACTCTATTCTCGCCCAAACCTTCGAGTCACCCAGGTCTTAGCAAACATGAAGTGTTATGATTATCAAGAAGCGTAGTTATCAAAGCAGTTATTAAGCAGCCCTATCACGTTCCACGATTCAAGGAATTCAATTGAAGACGGTTGAACGACAAAGAGTAATGGCAGCAGTTAGAAAAGACAGTTCCATGACAAGTTGGCCATTACGAGGAAAGTGGGCAGTTATAGAATGATCAATCAGTTTTTAGGCGATTGATTACAAAGAGATCATCCAGGGAGTATAAAAGGAAGAAAAGACATAGAGCAAAGGACCCCGAATCAAACACTCTCAAACAGAGAATATGTAACTTTCAATTTCTTAGTTTCGATTTAAACACTTCTTTTACAGTAACTCGTGTGCTTACGCCCCTTGGAGGCATTCCGTTTTTACTTCCCAATTGTAAAGTCATTGCCAATAAAAAACGCCCCTTTTTGGGACTTTGTTTCAAGAGTTTTGTCCCTTACACAATCGTCTGATCCCTTTTTAATTGTTAGCGACTAACCCGCGCGAAACAAAACCTTATATTATAAAATACAACAACATATTAGATCAACATAAATAAAAGAAGAGAAAACATTAGATTGACTTCTAAGTTAATCAGTTATTTTGTTTCTTTTGATCATGTATATGAATGTTGTGCATGCTGATCCACTATTTTCTTTTCTAATTAGGGTGAGATATCAACTCCAAATGTATCTTTGGTTGGAAAATTTTGTTCTGGTATCTCCGTGTTCTCCACCTGTTTTTCTTCGTGAACTATGATTCTGTTGGTAATTGTTGGTTCAACGTTCTATATCTGTTTATTGTTATATTAATGACATTGAAGATAACCGTTTCAATTATTTTTTCGTTTCCTCCAATGGCATTTTATGACACTAGTTGCCTGTTTTTATTTGCTCAGCGTTGGTGCGGGATGTTCTCAACTCCTTTCCGACATGCAGGCCTTTAAGGTGAAGTTTCACACGCACAAAACTTATATATATATATATATATATATATTGTGTGGAACACCTCGTGGCAAAATTTTCAGAACCTAAATACCGGTTTGCACTGTTATTCTTGTCAGGCAGCAAATCATGGCTGCATATTAGAAGATTTTGTAAGATGGCACTCTCCTCCTGATTGGATGGAAAATGAAACAAATACTGAAGTGAACGAAACTTCTGATGGGGGTGACTTATTGTCTGTAAAAGGTCAACTTCGTAGGCGAATGCAGAAAGAAGGTAATTCTTTTACAGGGCCTTGCTTCCAAAAATTACTTCTTATAATTCTCAATTAAAATCAAATGTAGGGCCATTTATCTAAGACTTGACACCAGTCGTCTTATAGCAGATATATATTAACCAATTTTTAAAAATAAAATCTGAGTTATTCAATCATATTCATCCTAGTGTCTACTTTGTAATTTTATTTTATTTATTTATTTTTAAAATTTAGTTGACACTGGTTGACGGTCAAACATTTTCACAGCAGGACTATTCGGTTATCTTCCATGACTCTGAATTTATGCCCTCTTTTTCAGATTTTATGCATTTAATCAATGTTGATAAGAAAAATCGCATATTTAACATGAGTTAGGACATTGTAATTAAGTACTATTTGATTAGGAACCGTAACTGCAATTGTCCCTTAAAAGTAATCAAGGTAGCTTGCCCTAACCTTTATACACAGTAGCAATCGTATTCGAAACTTTCAGTTTCATCTCCAACATTTTATAATGTAGTAGAATTCGTCCCTCTCCACAAATTCCACTCAAATAACTATTTCATCAATCCTTATAAGAAGATGATTACTTTTTACTTTTATATTCTACCTATATTACTTTGCGTCCGATAAATTTATCTCCACAATAAAAAAAGAAGTGAACGACACGGTGGTGAAATCCACACTCAAATAATGGCACCTTTAGATGGAATTCATCTATCATTTGACACATAAAATGTATAGGTTCGACACGTCTTCGCCAAAATTCAAAGGTTAGAGATAAAATAAAATAAAATAAAATAAAATAAAAACGCTCGAATAAAAAAGATTAGGGATCATTTACGCCAATATCTCGCCAAGATTTAAAGGTAAGAGATTAAAATTAAAAAAAAAAAAAACGCTCGAATAAAAAATATTAGGGATCATTTACGCCAATATCCTTTTATCAATGTTACGTATAGAATTTTTGGGGCGAAAAATAATTTCTTTTATTTGTAGTGCTTGTTCTCAACTTCAGAAAACCGAAAAGTAAACAAAAGCCCGCTCTGAACGCGTTTGGAATCCGCTTTTGCTTCTGAACTAAGTTGTCATTTCTGTGTAAAGAATAAATTCGAGCCCATTCAAGTTCATTGTAATTAGGGTTTTAGTAAAAAAATTTGAGTTAAAATAATAATAGTCGATCATCATGACGATTCTTGAGAAGAAGAGAGTTCAGATTCTGCTCATTGTTGGTGTAATTGCTCTCAGTATAACTGGTGAGCAACTTTCGTATTTTATTTATTTATTTTGCTATTTTGTGGGTTAACTTTCAGTTCGTTTATTTTAATGTACTTCAATTTATGCGTCTTAAATGATTTGATCCCTTTTTTATGCTTTTTTCTTTTGAAATGTTGAAATGAATCACTTCATTTCTAAATTGGAAAAAACGATTGCCGGTTAAATTTCTTTTTGACTGAAAACAAGTTGCTAATTTAGTTGAATTTCGTTAGAACCTAAGAAGTAAGGTTATATAGACAAAATTAATTGGACCTTGGAATCTGAAATGAAAGAACATTCTGTTAAATATATTTTCCCTTTCCTTAACTGTAACCCTGCACTTTCTTGCCAATTCTATGAAAAAATCTGATTTCCAGTTATATCTGAGTCAAAAGTTAAAGGGCGCTTTCTTTGAAATCCAGAGATAACAAGAATTTTCTTGATACGGTACAGTTTGTTTAGTGTAGATCAGTAAAAGAAAAGAACATATCCAGCCAAACATTCATGCCTCTCACAAAACCGGCAATAATTTAGTAACGGCCATGATTCTTTTAACTAAATTAGTGAGTAGAGCATTATGAAAAATCTTCACTTTATTTAGAACTGGTTGCTTCTGCATAAATTTCCAAGTCCCTCCTTGAATGTTGCTTAGTCTCCATGTCGAACAATGATTAGAGCTAGTAATTTGGCCTCTTAAAACTATAGTTGCTTATTATTGTGAAAGGATCATGTTTTGTATTATGGCATCTCATCATTTGCACCAAATCTGCTATTGGAATTCTATAAATTTTACCAAGTGGAGCATGAAAATAGAATCAATTAAATCATTGAATAAGCAGGAATAACCTGAACCACTGCGTCAGTAAAAGTTATTTCCTGCTCTTCATGGGAGCTGCTTTTTGCTATTTTGCATCTCTCTCTTCCTCCTCAATTTGATCAAAACCTTTTTTGCATCTTCCAATCAATTATAGGTACAACAAGATGTTGATTGTATAAATCAGCCATTTCAACCCTCTAAACATTCCCATAGACATTTGATTTTTCCAATCATTATTAGCATTAAACAACACAACTGCTTCATTCAAAAGCCTATTCACACATTGTCATACTGCCTTTATTTAAACCCGGCCTCAGGGCTTTCTTAAAGAAACAAAATATTATTCTCTGGAAAAAGCATATGTGAAATATGGAGATGTCCTTGCCACTTGGAATTATTTTATTCTATGTAATTTAAGGATTTTTTCACTGTGTTTCCAGACTTGAGCAACTTTAACCTTTTCAAATTGAAAAAGCTAATTTAATTATGGCATACTCATTCATATTGTTTTCGAGTAAGAACTATTAATTAACGTAAATTTTCAAGATCTCTGCAGGTGAATTTTCTATATTATTACTGGCTTCTAAAGCTTTTAAATTGTAATTGTGACAGAGAATAATTTAGTTATTATGTGCATGTTTGGCAAAGCTTATAATCGATTATAAGCTAGTTAAACGCCACGTTTACCCACAAATTTCCTAGGACCCACAACTTTTTACTTCTTTTATCCACTCATTATCAAACATTCCGTGGGATCCGCAACTCAATCTTCAAAAAGCTTTGCCAAGCGTTCTCTGTCTCAGAAAATATGGCCAATAGCATTATTGTTCATTGAAAGATATGAGATATGATTTGATCAACTCTTTAAATAAAAAGTTATATCATTTGAGGATATCACCAGTTGGAATATTGTTCTAAGTTTTCGTGTATGCTTTTAAAATTTTTAGATATTTTTCCAGGTATTGTCATTCAAGAATGTAAAATGTTGAACATAAGACTTGTTGAGTGAATCATAGCATAAGTCTATATCATATGTCATGACATCAAGATTTTACCTTTAGTTCTTGTATTTTGCATTTAATCATGGGTGAACTTATGGGAGACATCCAAAATGAGGCTCCTTAGCGTATGTTATTAGTCAATTATTTAGGTTTAGTTGTGAGAATAAGGAGTTAGTTAAACTATAAGTTAGAACATTATAGGAGCATTTTAAAATATAAAGGTTTTAGGTTAAGAGGAACCATGGCAGAGTGCACATAATGCTAATTTCATAATACTTATAGTAATATTTAGTATAATAAAGATAATAAAGGAGTTATTACAGAGGATCGTGTCCCCATCTGTAATTCTTGTTTTCTATAGAAGGTGTATTTACTGTTGATCTCAAATCTATTCATGCTGGTGATAGAATTAGTAGAATTTCTAATATTTTCAGGATCGCTAACATAGTCTTCATATTTATATGTAAAAAATATCAAGCGATTTCCAATGTTACGAAGTATATGAAAGACCTACTGCAACTAATTGTTTCTCACATTTACAAGACAAATTATACAATAAAATCATGTCCGTTATAAAGGTATATACCATTTTTTATTATAAATTTGTTGATTATGCACTACGAGTCTCTTTGATGTAGATTGTTGGTGAATAGATTTTGTGAAAAGTTTTTTTTTGAGTGTATGGTTAAAAAGTTATGGGTCCACGTACAAAATTATTTTATTTGGAAAATATGTGGTTTGAAATGAGTTTTAAAAGGATCTATCCCAAACAAGGGAGGGACTATATGATGCAAGAACACAGACACGTGTGTTCGACACAATACATGCTGGACATGTGGACACGCGATTTTTTAAAAAATTATTTATACGTCAATCCGTTGAATATATTTCCTAAAATTCTTCATTTGTATAACATAAATTTAGTTCTATTCTTGTTATTAATTTTTTATATATGAGTACTTATTTGTTATTTAATCGCTGTATAGTGGGGATTAAAAATCAAATTTTTAGCAAATTTTGATAAAAGTTGTAGATCCCAAGAGGTATGTGATTAAAATTCTTTGTTGACTTTGACTTGGATTAAAATCTAACAAACGGAGGCTTAATAATATCTTTTGAGTTATAAATATAAAATATTGCTGATGAAAAGAAAAATGACCACAATAGAGTATTCGAGGAGTGTTGGGATCCGACACATGTTGGACACGGACTGTCTACTCTAATTGAAGTGTCCGTACAACTAGGAAAATTTTAAATAGGAAAATTATGTCTCATTTGCCTTATTGTGACATAGAAACGGGATATGACCAATTTGAGAATTTAAGCACCTCCATTAAAACCTCATGAGGCTCAATATTATTTCTCAGCCTCAAGTCTCCAAAAAAAAAAGAAAAAAAAACCACCGCTAGACATATAAATAATTGTCAGGATATCCAAAGTATAGCTCGTGGCATCATATATAAAAAGATTTGTAAAATTTTATGTGTTTATTGAAGATTGACCTATTTCCTGTTACTGTTGTTCCTTTTTCTTGTGACAGAGAAACATGATATTACTGATTTGAGAATTTAAGCGCCCCCATTAAAACCTCAAGAGGCTCAATATTATTTCTTAAGCCTCGAGTCTCAAAAAAATTGCCAGACATATAAATAGTTTCAGGGTATCCAAAATTACAGCTTCAGGCATCATATATAAAAAGATCTGTAAAATTGTGTGTTTATGGAAGATTGACTTATTTTCTGTTACTGTTGTTCTTTTTCTCTTGGAGGAAGTGGTCAAGTTCAGAAACCATTTTCATGATTTAGATGAAACAACTATGGAAATAAGTATCTGTTTTTTTTTTTTTTTTTTTTTTTTTTTCCCAAAAACAAGGTTTAGTGGTTCTTAGAATTTTGATGAGCCACAGGATCATACTGAAGTACATCTGACTTTTCTTTGTTGTTTTTGATAGCTTCGAATCTTGATTGTTAATGTGCTCTCAGCTGTCTTATTACGCACTTGTTTTTATAGATAATTTAGCACCTGTTTGACAACCATTATTTGGGTAAAATGGAGTTTTGAATAGTAATTTTTTTGAGAATGTGTGTGTGGTTAAAAAGTTGGGAAAAGTTTTAAATTTACATTCAGAATATTTTATTATGTGAATGTGGGGTTAAAAATGAGTATGTAAAAAAAGAGTTTTGAAATAATTTTGTCAAACAAGGGCTTAATTGGATGAAGTAGCATTTTTTGCTTGTGTTTCAAATTGATTCTTTGCCTACTTAGTAGGCATTGTTTTGTAATATTTAGTTAGGATATGTTGTGAATGACTTATTTTACGCCATATGTATTCTTGAAGTAGTACGGTACTTGTATAAATTCCTTTTATAACTAGACATTCAATTATAGGAAAATAGGGTCATATCTTTTTAAATTTCCCCATATTTCTTCTTGTTACATAATCCGTATTTGTTTCCTTTTCTGCCATCTTTTCTTTAATATTTAGTCAAATCTCATTTTCCTTTTATAGCTGAAAAATGTAGGAATTTGGTTGGCGAAGAGGCTGCATCCAAAAGTGGGAAATTCACTTTCTTGAACTGTTTAGATGGGGGTACTGGAACCCTTGCATGTGTGGTGAAGGAGGGTGTAAAACTCTATTTTTACAACATCCGATCTATCCATGTAGAGAGTGCAAGGAACAAGGCAATTGAGTCTGCCTTGTCTGATGCAATAACACAAGGCATGCCTGCCAATGATGCAGCCAAACTAGCCCAGAAAGAAGGAGCCAAGGCAGCAAAACTGGCTACTCGGAAAGCTAAGCGCATCATAGGTCCCATCATTTCTTCGGGATGGGATTTTTTTGAAGCTCTTTACTATGGGGGTACCATAACTGAAGGGTTCCTTCGGGGCACAGGGACATTGTTTGGCGCCTATTCTGTTGGTTTCATTGGAGAGCAAAGGTTTGGGCGCTTTGGTTATTTGGTTGGAAGTCATCTGGGCAGTTGGGTTGGAGGACGAATTGGGCTTATGTTGTATGATGTGGTCAATGGAGTCAAGTACATGCTGCAGTTTTTTCAACTGGATGAACCTAAAGTTTATGATGATGCATCAACTGAACAAGTTCTTGAATCTACTGGTTTTGAAACTTCTGATGGCTCTGAAGATTCGTTCGACAATGCATCAAGTGAACAAGTTTCTGAATCTACTGGCTTTGAAACTCCCGATGTTTCTGAAGATTCCTACATAAATGAAATGCCCACACATACTTCTGATGAGTCGAACGAGAGTCCAGATGACGCGCGCGAAGAATTTTAGATAAAGTTTAGTGATGTCACATGTAAATAACTATTATGTTTTCATTAATCACCTTTGTCAAACCTGTTGAAAATGAACATTTCACAATCATAATCGACTGTTTTAGCCCATACATGTCAGCTATAGAGATTTCATTTGATCTTTATTATGCTGATTGTATTTTCCTAAGATATGACTGTTCATATGTATGTTAATCGTATTTTCTTGAGCTCTCTAGCCTTTTGACATTCAATGACATCTCAGGTTCTATGAATTTTGTTCAGAATGGATGGATCAACAGTGAAACTGACGAAAACTTTTGCGACCTTGTCCATATAATAATATCAGGTCATGTGTCACACACACGTGAAAGACCGAATTAGCATGTAAGTAAATTATCCCTATCCATATGCATCCACCAACACGGTTCCAAGGGAAATTCAACTTTAATAATTTAATGCCAACGAAAGATTCATCAAGCTGATTAAAGATTCATAATATTTGCTTCACAGGTAAAGAAAGTTGAATAAAAGCGACAACTCGACTTCACCATTAACAAAGCCACAAAAATCCATCCATGTACGCATGAATCATCCCAAGCAGACTACTTTCTTTTGTACATCTAAAGTTATAAGCCTCTTCTTTTAACACTTCAAAGAAGATACAAACTATGGGAAAGTTCAAATGCATACTTTGCAAGCATACTTTAAGTGCCAATGCCTCCAGATCCTCCAGCAGCATCGAAATGCATGGGTTCTGATATGCCATTACAGGGACCTTCCATGAAAGCAAATCTCAGGTCTTCAGACGGCCTCCAGTGTCGCTTCCTCTGGTTTATGAACCAATTGTTGATCTGCTTCTGGTCTAATCCCGTAATTTCTGATAACTTCTTTTTCTCGTCTTCCTGCATTATCATCTATCAGTAGTTATGATGTGGAAGAAAGATCTGAAATAAGAAGAAACTGATGGAAGCCAATGAATTCAGATGCGTGCTCGTGCTTAGTCTCACTGAAACCTAGGATTCACATGTTTGTTGGATTTTTGACAATATATCTCTTAGAAACTCGTCATCCTAACTCTTAATTGTCTTAGACATGGAAAATGTTAAGTTGAAAACGAATTCTTCAATTGAGATTTTAAAAATAATGATATAATTTGCAAAAATATTATTAATTGTATAGGTTTCAGTTCAAAATCTGGTACTTTTCACGGAAGTTCTAACTGAAGAGAGAAGTGCAGGATACCTTTGTATCGATCTAATGCAAAAACTTAAAAACTCTGGTGGCTTAATTTCTTGATTTTCACATTCTTGAAAGGGACCTAATGTCTTCTTATTTCTGATCGAGTAGACAGAACATCCACACTCATCCAGATAATAATATAAAAAATACATTGAAAACGATATGGAATTCAAATTACCATGGGATATGGCCATTTGTAATGTGTGTTCCACCAGTCTACCAATACCATCCTTGCATCCTTTGGTAATTTCCCTTTTCTCCTTTTCCTCAAGAAGTCCTTACGCAAACTGCTAAGGTAGCCACTGTACTTGCGCATTAGCATTTCTTTGAGTTCATGGTCACCTTGACAGGTACCAAGAGATTCTTGATTTTCAGTTGCTTCCACTTCACAACTAACATCCTCATCCAAAGTAGCATCCCCATCATCTGACAAGAAGAATGATCAAACAGAATAAAACAAGTCAGAATTTTTTTTTTTTTTTTTTTTTTTTTTTTTTTTTTTTTATATTTTCATCCAAGTGTATGCCGTAATGCAAAAATATTCTTAATGCAGCTCAATTGGTTCTCCTGAGTGCCAATCTACTTGGTTCCAATGAAATGGGGGAGTAAGAGTAACTTGGAGAAAACTGTTTCAGCTCTCCTTTTGGTGATTTGGACAGAAAAAAATAGCAGAATATCTGAAGGGAGTGAGTAAGCACTGTGTCACGGGCCTAGTTTCATCACTCCTAAACTATGCTAGCACCATACGGCCTTAACGCTCCACAACTCCAATTCACACGAAATAGCGTTAAGTCAGCCTTAAATCCCCACAATTATTTAACCACCGAGGCTAAATTATATACCTTTGAGTAGGGATCGCAAATAGGATTTTATGAAGAAAAGAGTGCACACACAAATACAGGAAAAATTATTTGTATAAATGTAAGAGAAAACTATGTACAAACTCTCAAATATTCTCTCTCTACAAAAATTCACTCAACCCTACTTTACTGGAATTTTCTCTCAACTCTCAATGAGGCTAAATTATAGGCCCATGTTGCTACCCGTGTCCCCTGTCGCAGTGCCTACACATTCTGCCTGAGTTTTACTTGCCTGCCCGCCTCCCTGTAGTAATGCCTATGTTCACTGGCGGACACACGATGGGTCATGGTGGGTCCAGCATTTTTAAAATTGATCTCCAGCCCTTGTTGCCGTTTGCACTCGATAGAATCAATTTTATTGAAGCAGAAGAACCCATTGGAAAATCAAAACTCCTCTTCACTATCCTTGGAAAATCGTTGTGTTGTCGATTTCAATTTTGCAACTGACTACTCTCGTTGAAGAACCCGTTGCAAACAGTTGAAGAACCTATTGAAGAGAATTCATGTTCATTGTTCATCCGATCTCTCTCCCTCTCTGTGCTGCTGTAAGCAGTTGGCTGCCATTGAATTTTTTAGTAACACTGACAGAAACTCATTACTGCCTTTTGACTAGTTAAATTTATTCATTTGCATTTCTTCTTATTAGTTGTATGCCCACAACATGTTGGCTAAAATGCCTCGCTAGGCATTCAAACCTTTAATTAGAGTGTTTAGCTAAAGCTTTTGATTTAAATCGTTCTTAATTCCAATTCGAAGGCCCCAATTCATTGCTTTCAAACAACATCTGCATTCCATTGGATAGTTTTGCCTTGCTTAATTGCTTCTATCACATTATCCCATTATCTGAAATTTGGAAATATATTTACGATTTGTGATGGATCATCAATGCAATTTGTTTAATTATGATTTGTGAGATTTTATTTGGGAACACCATAAAAAATTCAAAATAGGGGCAGCAATATTTGATGTGTTTTCTGGCATTTGAAGAAAAATCTTCGGTTCTAAAAGCTTCTAATATCAGAAATGGTATTGAATAATTGAATTCTTGCTTTTTTGTTGCTTTATTGAGTGTTTTGGGATAAAAGTGGAGTTTAATATTCATATACTACATAATTCAAATGGTAAATATGCGGGGTTTTTTGAATATGTGAGAAAGCTGAGAGCTTGTAATATTTTACAAATTGTTTTGATTATAATATATGGAGAGAGAAATATTTTCCACGTTTTGCGGAGATTTTAAATTTTTTACGAGTTTTTCGAATATATTATAAAGTTGTAATGAGTTTTAGCAAACAATAGTATCGGCCACGACACTAGGGGACGTAACTCCCCCACCAAATTAGGCGATGCTCTCATCGTCATGTACCGCCGAAACTTAGACCTAATGTGCCATAAGTTTAACTCATGTTCCCATCTTGTACCATGACATTCTCATGTCATGCCACAGCTCATGTCACTCCCTTGCGGTCCGTGACAAGTGGCTGACTTAATGAGTGGGGTCAAACTTAACTTCTTAGTCAAGCTAAGGAACACATCAATGTGCACAAAACAATGGTCTGGTTAAAGCCTTTTTATAAGCATATTCAACTTATTCCACCAGCACCATCAGGGCAGAGCCACAGGGACAAAAAATAAAAAAATACTGGACCGACATGTAGCTAATTTTTATTTCGATACTCTCACTTTCTAACTCGATGTGCATATTAATTCTTAGAACTTAGCAATTGGGCGAATACTATAGTAAACTGCATTAAGTGAAGCACGATGTATTAGAACAAGCTCAAATTTAGGTATACAGCTTCGTTTATTACACTTAAGTAACAAAATATTCTCAAATCTCTACTAGTAAAAGTGAGAGTTAAGATTCTTCATTAAATTAACCAAGGTCAATCCATTGAATGAATGACCAAGTGCATTGTCCTCTTCATGATAAAACAAGGAAATTTAAAAGAAACAAATCTTTGTGGCTATAGTAAGTACAGTACATTGAGATGACCTGAACAATATAACACGGCATTCAGCCATAACCTTCGTTATTCCAGCCAAGGCCATTAGCTATTAGCCAATGTCTAACGATGTGCCATAATCCTTATGTCACAACAGAACGAGGCACAGTGATTCATAGTAAGCAAAAGCACAATGAAGAAATGAACATTCATAATTGGGATTTCCTTAAAATAAAGCCAATATCTAGAATTGCAATCTAGGGAGGAAAAATATTTAAACCTAAAGGTTGTAATTCGACAACGTATATGATATAACAATGGTTAGATTTTAAAATAACAATGACACAGTTCCTTAATGACTCGTTTTCACTTGAGAATTTCTTCTATATTAAACAGCTCAAAAAGAACACATTCTAAAGCCGTAATACTGCAAAATTCTAACATAAATTGAAGGTAATCAAAACCAGTAACTGGTACAGTTACTGCACCAATTTCACAGCTCAGTGATGGTCAATTTACTGTTAAGAAATTTGAATTGAACTCTGGCTACAACAATTCTTTAGGGTAATGCCATAACAAATTTATTACCATTACTTCAATAAGAAGGTCACACAAAAGAAGAAAATAATAAAAATGAAAACCTAATGCTAACAGCTTTGTATTATCAACATATGTTGTAGTTGAATTTAATCACACGAGTCAAAGAAAACAAACCATACAAATAGACAACACAACATATGAAGAACAAAATCTCCACATAATTATTTTTTCCTTCGTGAGGTCCAAGGCAAAAGTACGTCTAACACCTAGTTATTAGATGCTATCCATCCGCTACCGATGAAATTCGCAACAATGTGAAACATCAAATACAATCAATTCCTTCACACTATGTTGCTGGGACCGTAGCATTACTCTTTTTTCCACGTCCAAAGTATAGAGAGAGTACATGGAGAGAGAAGCTCGACGAGTTTGAGTCATCCTAGGTTGCAAAAGAGTCGTCCGATTCTCAGCAACCAATAAGTTCTCACGTGTAAATCCTTCTAAAATACGTGTGAGCCATAGGCCAAATTGATGGTTATAGAATTTAAACTGCAAATGTCTTTTCAAAAGACAGCAATGGAGATTTTAATGGATAGCATATGGAAGACTTTTCATTATTAGGCCTTCACTTTGAGGAAAGAAAATAGGAATTACCTTGAGGATTTTTTTTTTATTTTTTTATTTTTCTTGTTGATATTTGATTTATTTCATTTTCATAGTTTTGAATTTCAAATTTCTTAAGTTTACATTCCATTATTTTGTTGACTTTCTACTCTTGCTAAGGATTTTCAAGTATGAATAGGGCTCACTTATTTAAAATAAATAACCATTGAACTGACTATCAGCCATTAGGCCTCTGTTTGACAACCTTTAAAATTTAAAATTGGTTACTATAGTATTATTCTCTATCACACATTTCACATAATAAAATATTCAACACATCAATAAAGTTTCCTTACATTTTAACCAGACGTTCTTCAAAAAAATACTATTCAAAACTCTTTAATTTTCAAATAATGAGTGACAAACAGGGCCTAGATATGTCGAATTTCTCCCCCCAAATTCTCCTTTTCTCTACGTCATAAAAGATGCAAATGCACATTTAACATGCATGTAGGAAGATAAATGAATAATATTCTTTAAGTCACGTAAAGAATCATATCAATCTTCTCCTGGGGGGCAAAGGCATATAATCTATAAGTGTCCAACAAGAAATATGAAGGATCGTCCACCACAATCGTCTAAAGAGATTCAAGTTCTTAAAAGTATAATTATATAAATATTTCATAAGCTGGAGACATACAATTAGTAATTCAAAATACATTCTATTTTATCTGCTATCTACCAATTTTTTTCTACCGATGTTTGATATACATTAATTATTTTTCGCACTCATAATGTGGATGATAATCACAAAAAATTACTAAGCCCCTACCAGAGCCCCCATCTTCAAAACTTTTTTCAAACTCATTTTTCAACCACACATTCTCCAATGAAAATAATTTTATATGTTAACCCAGAATTTTTCACTACTTTTTCAACCACACGTTCTCAAAAAATTAAAAAATAACTTTTTTACAAAATCTATTTTTGAAAGTTAGGTAATAAGAGTTACTTTCAAAATAAATAATTTTTTTAACTTATTCTGCTTAAAAACAGCTTACGGAGCCAGGAAATTTGTTCAGTGCGGACATAATTTAATGAATTTAATGATAATAAAACTATAAAACAAGATCATTGGTTTGGGCCTAAAAATAAAACCCATGTAAACTAAAACATGTATTAAAAAAAAAAAAAAAAAAAACTGAAAATGGTTTGGGCCTAAAAATTCAGTGCGGGCATCGTCTCAACATGGCTCCTCCCGTGGATATTCTGAAGCTCAGCTAAACGTGTTATATTTCTATGAAATGCACATGCTGTAGGAGATAATAAACAAAGTCTGATAAAAATAATTTATCCAACCTCCCAATAGTAATTACCGAGGATGCAACGCTTTTAAAAGCAAAGAGGGCCGAATCTAGAGAATTATTGAACACAATATAGTATTTCTGACAGAGTTCTATACTATCACTGCTATGATAAAGGAATTCGAACCAGGTTCTCTCTCTAATCAAAAGAATAAGTAAATTACCATGCATGGGAAGTCTAAATTAAGAAACAAATTTACCAGCAGAATGGTAGTTGAAAGATGTCAAGGAAGATGACGTGGTTGAGGCAAAGGTCTCTTTACAGAGATTACTGAGCTGAAACTCGATGTTGCTTAAAAACGATTTCGCTTCATCAAATGGCTTTGACAGTTTCTCCTTGCATCTGTGTAGAACCTCACAATAAGATGTCTTCAGAACCCAAAAGAAAGATAAGAAAAGGTTAAAACTCAAAAATAAGTTTAATTATAATAGTACACGAATTTCTGAAAATATTCATCAGTACCATAAATTCATCAAGTTCAGGGTCAGCTCCATTAGAAACGGTGGAGTGGGTTTCTTTGGTGACTTCTTCAAGAAGTGAAGCCATTTCTGGTGGGAGTACCACCTTTCAACACACCAAAAAAGCTGTATTATTATAATTAAAGACCCATATGTGGGCATTAATGGAGTAAAGATATAGTGAAGAAGTTTACCTTTCTGCACTCGATGTAAGCAGATACTAGGTTTGGATACAGAGGATGATTTGCAATCTGGGCCTTGAAATTATCTGACATTTCAAATCTCGTGGCCTCAGTTTCACGAGCCAGTTCTATTAAAGCCATCTGATTATCATCAAAGTCGACTGGACTATGATTCGCAAACCCAGTAGGATTCGGACATGAAATGGAGGGTATAATACTGTTAAACTCATCCATATCTACTTAACCATAAACAAACAGTAGTTGCAGTATTTACTCGAACCCATCAAAATAGTGATATTTCCATTTGGAACTGAAACCAGTGATTTTTAGGAAATTTCAACAGCACAACTAGGTAAAACCATGTGTACACGATTAACGCCATAATTTCATCCAGGGACAAAAGGCGAAGGGTCGTTCCTGAAGTTGAAACACGAGAAAGAAGAAAGAGAAGCCCCACCACCACTCCCACCTGAGTTTGATAAAGTTAAAGTTCGGTCCTTTTTATAGCTGATGAAGTCTCGCTATTGGGGAAGGAAGATGAGACACAAAGAACCAGAGAGAGCGAGAGAGAGGATAAATTAGTTTGTTCGAGCAAAGGACATGAGAGAGAGAGAGAGAGAGGGGCGTGGCAGGCACAAAAATTTAAGCGCACGTTCGTCCACGCTAAGAAACAGTGAGTATCAGGAGTAGAAGAGAGTGGATGATTCGTCTTCCCCAGATGGTTACAAGTATATTTGTACAGTGCAGTGGCAGTACGTAGCGTAATAGTCAAGGTCTGCAATGACATAACATTCGGCCATGTTTCGAAAGGTGATTGGATAAAGAGGCGTGTGCCTTACTTTAGACTTTAGTTGAACCCCAACCTTAAGGGCCTCCATCGACCCTGTCCAGAACCATCGTGAGGAGGTAAATCGCAGAATGTGCCTCTCAGGAGTCAGGGTGGAGAGCACATGGATAGGCCAAGGCTGTTAAACCATATGATAACTCTCGCTTGCAACAAAGCCAATTTCACCTTGCGGAGAATCGAACTCTGCACACTGCCGCGCTGAGCTCTATCCACCCTCCCCTTTGCCACTGAGAGATATGTCCTGGAGGCACTTTAGACTTTAGTTACTAGGAAACAAAGTAAAAACCCAAATACACAACAAAACTGACTGGAAATAACGAGAGGAAATAAATAATACTAATAACACCGCTAGTATTACAAGACCATTCTAGGTGATGCTAGCCCCTCTTTGTCATCGATTTTCTTTCATTCTTTTTCCTTAATTTTTCTACAATACTCATTTTTTATCAAATTTTTTTATTAAAATAATATTACATGTAAATCAAAAAAATTTCTTTCTTTTTTACTACACTTTTCAACATCAATTACTATTCCATAATACATTCTGAACAAATAATGAATGACAAACACACCCTAAATGGTGTTAAATGAATCACATAATTTCACATATAATTGAACTAATAATATAATGTACATAAAAAGGTTGAACCCCAACATTAAGGGTCCTCCATCGCCCCGTCTCTGGAGTATTGTGAGAGAGGTTAATCGCAAAATGTGTCACAGCAGGTCAAGGAACAAAAATTGTTTGTACACTAGTACCCACAAAAAGTCTCGATCCATGTTTCAGGAATCGAACACTCACACTGCGACTGCCAACAAGGCTGAGTATATCTCACCCTTGTCCCTTGCGCTATTGAAATATACCCCCGGGGGCAATAATATAATGTTACATAGATTGGTTTTCTAGCACTACTAGTGGTAAATAACATTATTCTTTCCAAAATTTGAGGTGGGAATTGAGCCTTCTTTGTTTTATTTCTGTAATCCGTTTGCCCTCGTGCCTACTCCATAAAGTTAGAGAGAGGATACGTGTTTTATTCTTGTAACCAAGGGCAGATTTAGGGTGTGGCTAGCTAGCGTCGCCGCCCTAGCTGGATTCGCTGGGAAGAATTTTTCTTTGCTGATAATAGATAGAATTTTTAGATTATATATTTGATAATTTATATTAACAAAAACGTCTTTGGTAATTCAATTGGTTAGCCCTTTCACTATTGAATTTAAGGTCCAGTGATCGAAACTCTTCAAGAACATTATTTTTTATAATTTTTGTATTTCAACAATTTTTACCAAAACAAATGCAAGGAAGGTGATTCAAATATACTACCTCTCTTAAGCAATTTGATCATTTTACCATTATGATACTTATTGATTTTTAAAATACATAATGTAACAAAATAATATATATTCAATGTTACTAGTTTAATGCAAGTAGAAACATTTTAATCTGTGCTTTGTCCCTCTTCTTGATTTTCTTTTTCTTTTCTTTTATTTTATTTTATTTTTCCCTCTAATCAATTGATCCGAGAGTTTGGTCAATTAATGGTAAATGAATTTGTAGGAAAATTGGCCTTAGTGTTATAAGGAATCTTTCAGCAAAACTTATTTAATTAATAAAATGTTACACTTTTCAACCACAAAAAATCAATTGCGAAAAAGTGGAATTATACGAGCACATAAATAATTTTCGTTTTAATAATATAATAATGCTTGTTTAATTAACTTTAATTGTAAACTAAGTATTGGCATTTTGTTAATGTACATTGCTTTTTTAATTAAAAAATAAGTCAGAGCATTTTGCATAGTATGGAACGATTTTTTCATCAAAAATGAAAGTTCGTACCTGGTTCTAGTTTTAGTGGTGTATCTAGTTCTTATAGTTCTAATCCCTATGATTTTTTGAATATTATTTAATTAAATATTAACAAACAACCCCGTTATCACGGACGTTGGCCGTCAATAGTAAGCTTTCAACACTCACGGTCCGCCCTAATTGAACTCGACCCCTAGATTCACCCGTACTTGTAACACTTGACTATGGTTACATGGTGCATTCCTATCACTGACAAAGCTCAATGTGGATGTAGATCATCTTGATTGAAATATGATAAAACTTTGCATTCTGATTCCATTTATTTTCCAGTTCTTGTTGGAGTTTCGTGCAAATCTTGCAAAGAGTCTTCACTTTCCATTATTTCATCTACTTACTTTTTCATTTTTACAATACATTATCTAGATTCCTTTTTTTAAGATGAATTGTAACTCACACACGGCCTAAGACCAAGGCCTAATCCAATCCACACACAGCATTACAAATTACAGTACTTTACTATATAATTCTGCATGGAAAGAACCCTCATGAAGTTTCACATTATTCATCACTGGTATCTTGGGAGGTGGCCAGGGCGAGTTATGGATTAGGATGTTATTTGCTCCGAGGATGTGATGATCAGTCGTGCCTTTTTCTTGTTCAGTAATTGTTCTTACAAAAGAAACGTTTTGCTATGAGCTCGAACCAATAAAACAATGAACTGAGCTATGATTGAGGCCTTCGTGACTGCCCTGGAATTAAGGTTTGACATTAACAATTGAATCTTTCTAATCAGCCGTATTTCTATGCATCTACAGTCTACACTCTATGACAAATCTTCCTATACTATAGCTTTGTGAAATTTTTTGAATTCATCATTCGTTGCTTAAAAAATAAATAAATCTTTTATTACACGTATAAATTAAGGATAATTGTTGCAAAACCTTCACGACCTTTGCCTTTGTTACGGAATACCCCATATCCTTTAAAATTAACAAAAACCTCCCCTAAATGATTTTTGAAGTGAGGAATACACCATTTTTTTTTCTATTTTCTTAATAAAACCTTATGAAATGATGAATATGTCATCTTCTTTAAATAAAAAACAAAAAGAAAAGAAGAAGAAGAAAAGAATTAAATGCGACACAACCATTCATCATTTCTTATCTACATAAGTCAAAGCCTATGGTGTTAGAGTTGGTTACTCAAATTGAAAAGGAAATTTTGAAGATGCGTGATGAATATGGAGAATCAAATAATATCCGGAAAATAAGGAAACAAAGTCCTTGTCTCGTTTTTTTTCCTTTTCACGTTTAACTTGGAATTCTACCTTTTTAGGACTTTTTTAGCGCTAGACTCTTGTGGTATAAATATGAGTCTCCTCTTTCAGTATTGTTGAAACCAATTGTTGTAATTCTCTCATCTCATTGATGGAATAAAATAACATCGTTCCTTTGTCAGTTTATTTTTTTACTTTAATCTTGTTCGTGGTATTTTGCGATCTTGTATTTATATTTCAAATTGGTGTCCATTAAATCTCAATTCTTGTATTTCGTTTCCACCCGGTCCCAACAAGTGGTATCAGGGCGGGGTTGTTGATGGATTTCTGGCCTGAAACTGATCGAAAATTTGTCTGAAAATTACCAGAAAATCAGAAAATGAATCTGTCCAGTTTTTCAATTTTCTGTCAAATCTATTTTTGTTTTTTTTGGTCAAACCAAAAAGAATTTGGAAAAACGAACACCACCAATGGACTCAGCAGGTAGAGACGGTCCAGAAAATGTCACAAGTCCCCGGCGGTGGGAACTCCAGCGAGCAAGTGGCGGCGCGTACAGTGGTTTCCGACGACGGTGTCTTCAGACAGTTTTCTCTGGACAACGAGACAGACCTTGTGGTGGTGTCCAATTTCAGTTTTGGGCAAAATTGTGGTTCTGAACTGTTCTGCCCTTTGCACGTTCGAAAGTTTTCAGTTTTGGGTGTTCCAGGTTGCAAGTTCTTCGTGATTTGATTGAGGTTTTCAAAGATGGCTTCGATGAAGTATGATATTCAGCTGCTAGATGGATCTTGATGATGCTTTACTGGGTTTTGATAGGATGCCAGCAAACTTGTCTATGGAAGAGAAATAAAGAAAGGATCAGAAGGCTTTACCGTAAATCCAACTTCATTTATCCAACGATTTGCTGCAAGATATTTTGAAGGAGAAGACAGCGGCTACTTTGTGGCTCAAGTTAGAGCAGGTGTGCATGACAAAGAGTCTGACGAGTAAACCGACTCTAAAGCAGATGTTGTATTCTCATCGCATGGCGGAAGGAGGGTCACTATAGGACCACTTTGCTGTGTTCAAGGAGATCGTTGCAGATTTGGAGACGTTGGAGGTAAAATATGATGAAGAAGATCTAGCCTTGGTCCTGTTGTGTTCGCTACCCAATTTTTTTTCGTCGTTTCGTGATACTATTCTGTATCGTTGTGACACGTTATCCATTGAGAAGGTATACGACGCCTTGTTCTCAAAGGAGAAGATAGAGCTGTTGGTTGTAGATCCTACATCTAGGAGTGGGGATGCTCTTGTTACTCATGGTGATCGACGGAGGGGTAGATCGAAAGCGAGGTACAACAATGTGTACTATTATTACTGCAAGAGGAAATGATGCGAACCCCATAACAACGTTGATTACGAAACTCACAACGAGATTGACGAACCCAAGAAAGTCAAATTAATCTAACAGTTTAGGATTAACCCCAAAGAGAGTCGAACCAAAAAACCCAACAAGAACGACACTTGAAAGACCCCTTGATCATGCAATCCAAGAATTAAATTCGGTTGTTTGAACGCCACAAGTTAACACTTGATAAGTTCGAAATTGTTCAATGAAGAACGATGAAAAGAAGACAATACACCTTACTTTTAATTCAATATCAATAATGTAAAAAAAATTTAACAATTGAATGGAAACTCCTATTAATACTAAACCTAAAAACTAGGTAAAAATCGTGCAAAAGTCGATCATAATCCCCAAAATATGGAAAAGAATCAAAAAATAACAAACTATGGAAAATT